TTCATTTATACATATATGTAATATATATAAATATATGAAAAATTGATGTGGGTACTCAAATGCAAGGTCTTGATGAGTATAATGTCGGGATGAGCTTATATCTTTAAAAATGTCAATAGTTGACAAGATACAGTGTATTTTCTTAATTATTGACATTTTTAAAGATATAAGCTCATTTCGATGTTACACTCATCAAGACCTTTCATTTGAGTACCCACATGGCATTATTTATATATTTTATATATATGGTATTTGTGAAATATATAAATATATAAAATATATGAAAAATTGATGTGAGTACTCAAATGAAAGATCTTGATGAGTGTAATGTCAGGGTGGGCTTATATCTTTAAAAATGTGAATAGTTTTCAATATACAAGGTCATTTCTTAATTATTGACATTTTTAAAGATATGTGAAATATATAAATATATAAAATATATGAAAAATTGATGTGAGTACTCAAATGAAAGATCTTGATGAGTGTAATGTCAGGGTGGGCTTATATCTTTAAAAATGTGAATAGTTTTCAATATACAAGGTCATTTCTTAATTATTGACATTTTTAAAGATATAAGCTAATTCCGATGTTACACTTATCAAGAGCTTTCATTTGAATACCCACATGCATTTTGATATATTTTTCATATATACATATACTATATATAATATATATAAATATATGAAAAATTGATGTGGGTACTCAAATTAAAGGTCTCCATGAGTGTAACATCGGGATGAGCTTATATCTTTAAAAATGTCAATAGTTGACAAGATATTTTAATTACACGCTCTTTTTTTGTTGTATACTATTATTGCTTTACTTCTTAAAAAAAAATAACAATAAAAATTGTCAATTTTAACTTTACATTAAAAAATAAATTAATTAAAAAAAGAAAAAAACTGTTTCAAAACCAATTACAAATACTCTTTACTGCACAAATCCACAAAGCCAAGTCTAAGACATACCATAAATAATAAATAAAATGACAAAACACAAAATTAATTTTCTGAGAATAATCTCTGCAGAATTTCCAGTCAACTCCCTTGAAACCCGAAGAACAGTGAAAGCGTCAACGTCATCTCTTGTAACACTTTACTATATTTAATATTCTCTTGAGTACATAAAGTCATGAACGTGTGCTCTCTCGCTCACCTCTGCTCGTGGAGTTTGTTCACACTAAACTCTTGTCTCATTCGAATTCCGAGCATACATACACACATCTATATATAGAGATATTGTGCAAAATATGCGTATGTTGAGTGTGAATGGTAGCTAGGAAGGTTCTGTCTGAAAATATCCGCAGGCATTCTGCAGACTTGATGTGTCTGGATCTGGATATTCACGAGTCTACCTTGTGTACACCAGACAACAACGGGAATAATAATTATTCAAGCATTCCGTGAATTTACAGCAAGGTATTGTTCTTTGTACAGAGATTATTCCTATTGTCAAACAATGGGAATACCACGCTCCGATGTTTATTGATTTATTTTCATTATTAATTAATTTGAATAGCATTATTTATTCAATCGGTGGATTTAATTGTCTTCTCTCTGGTAACAGTACTACCGAATCTCATTACTCATTAACTTATTGTCTCTATTGTAAGATGAAGATGTTTTATTGAAGTTTGTTGATGCGGTGTCAAGTGTCAAGTGTGTAATATAGTAGGGTGTAGGATGTTAAATGTTTAATTAGTGTAGAAAGAATCAGAAGAGTAGAGAGGTGGAATAAAAATAATGATTTTAAATTAAAAAAAAATAATGGATGAGCTACAGAGTAGAGATGAAATATAAAGCTTCAATTGCGACACTGGGATGTCAACATAACACACACGTAATGTAAATTGCTTGAGGGTTTGTCGCAGGATAAGGATAAAGTAAAATATAAATAAAAAAAACAGCAAGTTTCGTTTGTACTGATTTATGTGTCTGGAAAAGGATGTTATGAAGTAGCGGGTTTGTTTTTATGCAGGACTCAGACATGCCTCGCTTCGGGCATGTGGAAATGCTTAATATTAACCAGAGGATAATATTAACAAGGCAAAAAATTAGCTGAAAAATTTTTTGTTTATTATTTTAAAAATTTACTGCTAACTTTATTTTTGCTATTTTTTGTTTGGAATTAATAATTATAATTATTGAGGGAGTGAAGCGATTTATAGGCACGAATTAGGCTTATTATTTTTTGACGAAAACTTTTACTAAGAAGTTATTTTTAGAGGATTAAGGCAAGCGGGGTGTTAATGATAATGATAATGATGGTTAATTGATAAATTTAATGACCAAGGAAATTATGAAGTATCTGAGGGGAGATATTGTGGAAAATACCATGAACTAATAGAGATGCTGTGTGGTAAACTTTAGCAGCGTCGTTGCTGGCAACGCAAGTGTAGTTTCCGTCGTGGACTGGGGATGCGCTCTGTATCTTGAGTGCCAGATCGTACTCGTCAGTTCGACGGGTCGTAGCTTCTTTTGGATCTAGTGCGCGGCCGTCCTTCAGCCAGGTTATTTTTACTGGTCCGTCACCCTCGCTAACCACACATGTCACGTGGACTCGGGTTCCAGATTGAATATTTTCGGGAAATTTAAATGGTTCGATTTTGGGTGGGACTGAAAATTTCATTAAAATAAAATATTTTGAGACTTTTATATTGCTTTTTTTTTTTAGTGAAAATTTGAGAGATTTTTTTTAATATAAAAATTATTTAATAAAGCTTTTTATCAAATTCTCGTAATTGATTTACAATAGAAAGTGTAATTAAGGACGTTCCTAGACAAGAAAAAGACACCAATAGGTTATGGGTACTGATTTCTTTCTCACGCACTAGTGCTGCCTCTCTTTACAGACTTTCGCTCACTTACTTCCACTCACGTAAAATATCGAAAATCACTAACTTCAAAGATTTTTTATAAAAAAATGAATACCGCTCGTTTATGTTATTTTTGATAAAAAATACTTGTTATATCTTCAATTAATGATTCTCAGTTTTTTAAAACAATCCTAAGAAAAGTACGATTGATATTTAATAAAACGTTCGCTTATTAAATGTCGGTCAGCATAGAGTTTGTATGTAAAATATACTAATTTTAAATGCTAATAATTCAAAATTTAGTGCCGCAAGGACTATTTAAAAAAATTCCTGCGTATAGACGATACTTATGAGTATAAGTACTCAAAATTTCAAAAAAATTTGAAGAAAACGTTTTTTTCTCGGAACGTCCTTAATAGTAAATTTTATTTGAAATATTAAAACTTTATTCATAAAAATATTTATAAAATTAAATTTTGGACGTTAATTTTTGGCTCACATTTTTTATCTTTGCTTTCAATCAATATAATTGATAAAAAATAAAATAACAGCGTCGAATTTTATCAAAGATAAATAAAGTTATTCCATTGTAGATTGTAATTTGAAGCAGTAATAAAAATCTATAACTTATCCGTCATTTGAAGCGATAAGATAAATGAATGAATGAAAATGATTGAATGATAAGATACAAAAGCTAAGTAATAACGTTCGATGGTGGTTTTCAATGAAATGGAAAAGTATTCGAGCCCTGAAGAGGTTTTGTCGTCTAGTCGGAAAGAGGACGCAGATGGGAGCCGTAACCCTTATGAATGATGGAACTAGTGGGATTTAACACAGAAGCCATACGTCTCTCCGAAGAAGCTGATAGAAAATTTCTCTTTCTTTCTATCTTTCTTTATCCATTTTATGTCCTTTCATCTTTTAACTTTTTCGTATTCTCAACATTTATTCTGATGTGGTTTTTCTCCATTTGATACTTTCTTCACTTAAACTCCCTCGCGAGTCACTTGTTGTATGGAAGGGAATAAAAGAAACAAAGACCGGCAACAGGACACTTGAGATTTCCTTGAGATATTGATTGTCGATAAATTATTCGTCTGGCTTGAGTTGTGGTCAATTTTTTAACCTAAAGATACTTTTTATTCCTGTTGTTGTTCTTGGAATTATTAATCGAAAATTCTGCTTTAATATTAAAAGTTTTTGAAAGCATACACAGTAAAAAATTTTGCGTCAAAAAATTTTGTATTAAATATTTAACACTTTTATGTGCAAATTTAACATTTATTGTGTTAAATTAACACAAAAAAGTGTTAAATATTTAACATAAAAATTTTTAACACAAAATTTTTTGACGCAAAATTTTTTACTGTGTATTTATGCAAGTAAATTTGTTGTTAAAATTTAAAGAATTACACTGTAAAAAATCAGAAGGAAATTTTGTTCAAAAAATAAATTTCTAATATTGAAATCAAATGTCCGATTTAATGTTTCAGATTTGACTGTTGTTAGCAGAATATCAAGTGGCGAAAACGGAACAATATCAAAGCAAACTGGAATGAAGCCCGTTTTAGTCAGCCGAGAGCTTACATCACACATCTGTGTTCATGTTTCATTGAATTTTGCATAACTGAAACCTAAACTTTCAACGTTTAAGGCCAGTCGAAAATAAATTACTCCTTTGGATCAATATAAATTTATCAACTCGCAAATTAAAAAAGCTTTATGTTATTTTTTCACTTGAACCGAATACTATGCAATTAAATAGTTTGAAATTCAGAACAAACAATCAGCAAGCTAATGAGGGTGAAATAAACATGGATTTAGCTTAACCCGAGTGAAGTCAAAGCTTTTTTTGATCCCCGGAAACAGAAAGTTGTTTTTATTCCACTAATTAACTAAATTAGTGATTTGTACAAACGGCAATGGCTTTTCACTGTATAGTTTAAATCCAGGTAGGTTCGACTGGCATTAAAAGTTTATTTCAAACCAGATATTATGATTATATTTATCGTTTAGTTTTTTAAAACGTGCTTTTGAAAAGTACTTATACGTATCTTTTAAAAAAATTAAATTCGGTGAAAAATTAATTGAGATTAATTAAAATGAATAAATTGACCGTCGGATTTTTTACAGTGTAATTGCAGTAAAATATTTTAGAATAAATTTATTAAGTATCAAGTCTTACCTTTTACTTCTATTTGTACAGTCTGGGAATCATAGTGACCCTGTTTATTTTTAGCAGTACATGTATACGAACCGCGATCTGTACTGCTGTCTACATTGTGCAGAACTAGGGTACCGTTTGACGATACTTCTTGTCTTCTACTTGTTGGCAAAACTTGACCATCTGTTAAAGAAAATTGATAATTACGATTTTTTTTTATTTTATGTAATTACTTAATTTTTTTTTTGATAAAAATAATAATTTATAAAAAATGTATAAAGCAAGGCTGGCTTATTTACTAAAAAAAAAATTAATGCTAATCATTAGACACTAGTTAGTTAATAAAAAATGTTTTCCTCAAGATTGGAAGATTAACTGTAGATAAAACTGTCGGAATTTTAGGTAAAACCTTTTCAATGTTATTGGTCGAGTCATTTTCTTTGTAAAAAGTTTAAAAGTCCAGTTAGTCTGTCGAGAACAAACTTTTAGTTTCCACTCTCTTTTTATTACGATCGCATTTTACTTGGCAACTTTAGCAAGTAGTGTTACATGCGACATTGGAGCCATTCTCGAGCTTACTCGACCGTTATGCAGTGTCGCTTTCGCGAAAAGACTCTCTTGTTCTCTTAGAACTAAAACTTACGGTAAAGTTCAGTTCATCATTACCAGAACCTTTGGTTTGGGCTCTCACAAGAACTTTGACTGAGTACTCCCTCAGGTACTATATATGTTTTCGCCAACTTCCATTCACTTAAAACCTCCCAACTTTAATAATAATAAAGAATTGCAAGCCGATAAGTCTTACTGGATAATTTTTATCTTATCTTTTTAATCGACTTAAAAATAAATGAATAATTTCATTTTTTAATCGTTCAAAACCTCTTTCAAAACTTACGGAAACAAGATTTTTCTTATTCTCTTAAGTTAATCATATCAGATCTTCAAGACAGATCCCGATCTTAATACATCAGACATTGTAACGCTCTGATCAGCCTTTTTATCCGCCACGGCAATGAAACAATTTGATCTCTCTTAGCTTAGTTTAAAATATATTCAAGTTTAATAGGTTATAATATTCAAGTTTCTACTGTCAATTAATAATAAAGGATTACTTAATTAGATAATGTTAATGCTTAGTTAATATATGTATATAAAGATTTAATTCTTTGATAATAATAATATATGAAAGATTGATGGCTACATGCGCCACTCAGATTAACAAATGTATCTCTTTAAAACCCCATTATTGCACTGATAGAAGGATTTGTTTGTATTTAATAAATCAATTTATTAAAATCTTTTTCAGATATTTTTTTGGGTGGAAAAAATATTTTTTTACTATTAACAATATATATATATATATGTAAACTTCTAATTGTAATTTATCTTTTTATTATTTGTATCTTTTAATTTCAATTTTCTTTTACTTCATTAAATATCTAATTCTCTGTAATTTTTATAATTAAAATAAAACATTGAAACACCTTTTTGAGGAATTTTTTAAATATTCATAATCCAGTGTGTATTAAATACTAATAAATGATTTATTAAATATTAATAAATCATTTTTTATATGTTAATAAATCGTTTATTAAATAGTAATAAATATTTGGTTAGCACAAAAAAATTGCTGCTAATAAATGATTTATTAATTGTTAATAAATATTTGTTAAGGACCTATCCTCTAATAAATCATTTATTAAATATTAACAAATCTTTTTAAATACAAAATAATCCTTCTATCAGTGTGGCCCTAAAGCCGCTGGGTTTGTATATAAAGAAAATGAAATAAAATATAGACTAGATTTTCTAAGCCAAAAAATATAAGCCATAAATATGTAATTGATTATGTATAATACATTAAATATATAATACATCGAAACACGTTCCATCGTTTACTATAAATTTCACCTATATTGGTTCAGTAGTTACTTCCGTTAGGCATTTATAAAAAAAAAACACCTCTTCCTTTATTATTATAGATTCAATAAAAATATCGAATGGTACATTTAATTTTATCAAATTTTATTTTCATTCCTTTCAAATATTTATTTAAAAAACGGCAATAAATTTTTATGATCTAAATAAAAAGTTACGTCAAACATGATACTCGTTTGAAATAGGAAATTTATCAAACACCGACAGCAAGGGTACAGCGAATACATATCTAAATTTACAACGTAGAATAGTTTGTACGAATATAGGAGAACAAACTGAGAGAGAAAGATAAAAATGAAACTAAAAATTCAATAGTTAGAGCTGTCTTTAAAATTTATTTATGTTTTTCGATAAATTAAACTTTCGCTGTAGCCATTATACAGTACAGCGTTCATGCATAATAGATTGCCCAAGCATTTAGGCAGAGATATTTTGGGTAAATACCTTTTTCCCACGTAATACTCGCTATTGGGAATCCAGCAACGGGACATTTGATGACTGTCGTTTCACCTGCAACCGCAGCATAGCTTCCCATCGGGCGTACATGTGGCAAGCCATAGATATTCAGACGGGCTGCGTGATGAACTTTGGCAACACGGTTGCCTGCCGTGCATCGATACTCCCCTCCATCTTCGACCCTAACAGTACTTATGTTTACATGGGATATCACATCGCCGTGTACTGTCACGTATTGTCCAATCATGAATCTGCAATATGGATCACAAACGGATGTATTAAATATATATCAATTAATTTTTTTTTAAATTTATTGTAAAATATTTTAGATTAGATAAAAATCCTAAATATTTAATATTATAGTTCAGAAGATATAATTGGCGAGATATTATTGGCTGGAATATTATATTATAAGGCGTCACCATCTGAGGTCACACGAATTATAACTTTTGTAAGATTCTATATGTCGCTCTGAAACTAGTAATTTAATATAGTTGTCTGTTCATGAGTTAAGCACGTACCTGTCATTTTGGGGCAAAGGAAATCCATCTAGGGTCCACGTGAAATGTGGTGTCGGGTTCCCAGTGGCAATACATTTCAGAGAAACACTAGGTCCAGGCTGAATAGTTTGTTCAATAAATTTATATACAAGTGATGGAGATGCATCTGAAAACAGAAATCAAAATTTTATTATAAAGTATAATTTATTTTTTTTTTATAGAAAAATTCTCAGATTTTTAGTTCATTTCATAGAAATTTAACTATTGCATTGGTCCTCATGACGGAACTTTTGAAAAATTTTGATATTGGGTAGAAGTACTGTTTTTGGCCACTTTAGCACCATATTTGGCCAGTTAACATTTGAATTAATTTATAAAAAATTATAATATTATAACCATATTGTTGTTGAGGTTTAAAAAATTTATATTAAAACAAATTGAGTTTCTAATGGTTTATTAATATAAATTCATTTCTATCGTTTATTTGAACAATAAATGGCCATAATCGGTACAGTGGCCACAAACGGTACTTCTACCCTATTTTGACTCAGCTCGTCAAACGAATTCAGAAAATGCATACGGTTCAAAAGTTTATATATGTATGTATTTATAATCGGTTTTGTCTCTTCTCTAACTCCCGCAATTCTATACGGATCTCAATAAAACGTAACATACTCATTCTTAGGAATATTTCTGAGGTTAAGTTCGAAGATGAGCCAAATCGGTCGATTAGTTTAGAAATGAGAGCTGTTCAAAAATTTTCAAAAATCGTAAAAATTCATATTTTGGCAATTTCTGCCGCGAACAATTGTAATTGTTTAATGAAATAACTTATTGAATTTATGTTAATTGCATTTTAACGCCCAATAAACGAGCTTTAATTTTCATGTCATTTCATTCTTCTAGACTAAAAATAACCTATCTATCTGTAGATATTTAATGAAATTTTACTATTGCATTCATTTTAACTTACATTGAAAAAAAAATTATCTTGATTCGAGAGAAATATTCTTTAACCAAGAAAATAATTTTGAAGAGGGTTATTGTCTTGAATCATGACGAAAAATTCTTAAATCAAGTAAAATTTACTTAAATTAAAGAAAATTTATTAGTCCAAGAATTTTTCTATATTCAAATCAAGAAGATTAAGTTCTTCAAAATTTCATAGTTAATTCAAGAACATTTTTTTTCTGTGCAGGCCCGATAAGGGCTTCTATAAATGTGATTGAAGTATTTGTGTTGTGATTTTATTCAAGTCGGAAATCTACTTCCATTTCGGCTGCCGAATGGCACTTTATTACACTTAGGGTAGAAAAATTTTTGACTCGGAATTTTGTGATCTATAAGATATTATTTGAAATTATTATGGGAAAAAAGTGATGAAAAATCTCTATTTTTAAATTTAACTAATTTTTATGAATATTTATTTACATTCTATAAAAGAACTTTCGTAGTTAGTTTTCACGAAAAAAAAAATTGGTAAATTGGTTTTAAAGTACAAAGTAGACATTATCAGTGAGCGAAAACGAGAGATGTTGCGAACAAGAGCCAACTCGTGTTAAGATAATTAATGATGCTACAATGGGTTAATGGACGTTAATCTAATAAAGTTAAGTAGGACATGATTTTAGTATGTTAGAAATTTGTTGTGGTGACTTCAGTATGCAGTATACAGCATAAATGTTCGTGTATATGAGTATAAATGTCTTGTAATCATTCACTTTTGAAACAACACCACTAGTTTTAACCCATCAGCGTGTACCTTACTCGCCCTTCCCTTTTTCCACCAGTTCTTCACAATCTTCGTCTCTTCTTCCCACTGTTCTCGTATGTACTTAAACTCTAACTCCTCCATATATACACTTTCTAGCAAAATAATGTGACACATTTTATCACATCGTTTACGAGCATTTTCATAAATCCTCACCGGTATAGCACAGCATTCTGTTTTAAAAGTATCTTATCCCTTTTTTTGCTTTTAAACTCTATATATATTTCAGGACACTTATCATTTTTAGTGCATTATATTCACCGTTTTAGCATTACTTATAAATGTTTTATAGTACAGTGGGTTGAAAGTTTTTATTCCGAGAAAAATAAGCAAAAAATTTGATGGTCTAAATATAAATAAATGAATAAATTCCCCAGTAAATATAGTGTTTAGTGTGTGAATGATTAAGAAAAAGTAATTTCCATTATCTTGTAAAATTGTGATGCATTTTAATGCGACATTAGTGTTCCATAAAAAAAAAAAAAAAGAGAGAGTGTGTTTTAGTACAAGTGTAGACTCTAGAGTGTAGAGCAGAAGTTGGCAATAACTCAAGCGTCAAATTGGTTCAAGAGTATAGTAATCTGCATTACTAACTGTAAGTGGTATTAGAGCAGATGCGGGCAGACCATTTAGGATCTGCGTCGCGTTCTCTATATGACTTTAAATGTCTAAACTTATGCGTTTCTCTTCGAGCGTTTCACTATCAACTATAACTAAGGAATAACTAACCTCTGGAAGTTTATAGTCTTTAAAAATTAATCATCATAATTGTGTTGATATGATATGCATATTCATTTTGAAATCAGCTGGGTTGAAAATTTCCACTTTGCAGTTAAGATCTTGTGACACTAAGCTTTCTGAGATAGTTGTCACGTATGTTACGATGGGTTATTTTCAAGTAATAAAAAATTTAATAATAATAATAATAATAATAATGTGTTTAATATATGATTTTATAAATCAGTAATTTTAATTACAATTTTATTTACAACAATTAAAATTTTATTTCGACAATTTTTGTTTGAGAATGTGTAAAGATATAATTTTTTACTCAGTGTAACTTTTTTTCGGTAAGTGAAAAAATAATTTGGACTGCTCAGACCAGATTAGGAATAATAATCGTAATAATAATAACAAGCAATCTGCAGTCGCTATGCGACTGCCGATATTTACGAATTATGAATAAGAAAACTTTGGCTTAATGATTTTTTTATATTTATCATCACACTATAGTTTAGGTACTTTTTCAATAAATTTTAAAAATAATAGTGCTATTACAGGATCAGGTAAAATAATTTAATGGACAAATGTGACCGAACAAACTTATAGAACTAAAAAACTATTAAAAACTCCTTCAAAAACTTGACATAAAAAATTAACTACTAAAAAAATATATAAAACCAAAAAGTACTAATTCTTATCAAGACCTTTTTGATAATACCAAATTAAACTATAAAAATACCTTTAAAAATAATAATATGCTCGTCACAAAATTTTTCTTTCTCTCTCAATTATTTAAATCATAAATAATTATCGCTAAAAAATATCAAACCCAATTTACGATGAAGATATACCCGTTACTAAATTTTTCTTAGTTTCTTAATTATATAAATTAATTTTTAAAATATAACCATATTTACTTGTACAAAACAAGATAAATATATAAACAAATTTTGTTTATCGCTAAATTCGAATCTATTTATGAATACTTCGAAAACTTATCATAATAAACTATTTTAGAAATATTTTATAACTATTTTTAAAGATATAAGCTCATCTAGATGTTACACTCATCAAGAGCTTTCATTTGAGTACCCACATGCATTTTGATATATTTTTCATATATACATATATATAATATATATAAATATATGAAAAATTGATGTGGGTACTCGAATGAAAGGTCTCGATGAGTGTAGTGTCAGAATGAGCTTATATCTTTAAAAATGTCAATAGTTCACAAGATACAGGGTCATTTTTTAACTATGTACCTAGAGATAGAGTATTTTCGAATGCAGCCTAAATACTTATCAAGTTATCATCATAAATTGATTATTGGTAAGAATACTATAAAACCTTGATAAGGCACATCTCCAGGTCAAGATCTTTTCAACGATACCAAATTTAACCATAAAAACCCATTTTATCGTATAAATACACTGGCAACAAAATTTCGCTTATTTTCTTAATAATATAGATAATAATAATAATATTTATTTATAATTTATTGGAATCCTTACAAAACATAGGTCATAAATCATACAGAGCAGTCTGATATGATCATTATCGAAATGCAACGTTACAGAAAGTAATACAAGGTATGTAGTTGTGTGGAACTATTGATCTCTGGGTTAGTGTTCGGTGTGAGAATTCAAGTGCACCCTTGTGAATTAACTACAAATTAGAGGTGCAGTAATAATTCAAAGTATGGTGTAGTGATTGCATATAAAAGCCAATGAGACGAGGGAAGGTGAAGAGCGAGAGAGAGGTAAAGTGGTGACGGGTAAAGGGTGGAGGGGTTTGGTGATAATGGTGAAGGATATTACAGACGAGAAGAAGGGCTAGGGAAAGGAAGGGAAGGATTCTAGGGTAGTGAAAGAGACAAAGGAGCTTGATTAGAGAGTACAGAAATTAAACATGTTTATCCAGCTTAGTGTAAATCAAAGTACGCTATTACGGTTGTTACGGTGATGTCATTGTTCTCTTTCCCATTTACTCTTGCACTTATTTGCATAATCGTTATTTAATGCAGCTATTAAATTTTCACATTTTCATTAGTCATTTATTTTACCGAGATCTTACAATTATAAAATTCAGTACTAAAAATTCTTATTTAAATTAAGGCAAATAAGTAATTAGTCACTTTTACAAGTGGCAATTAATAGATGTTCTTTTTCTTTTTTATTAGAAAAAATTGACAAATGTAACAGAGCTGTTATTCAATAGGGTTCTATTCACTGATCCGAGCATCGTAAAAATAGAAAAAAATTATCTCAATTAATCGAATCGTTCGAGCTAAATCGTGATGCATCAGAACTACGAACTAACTGTTTTCCACGTCAATTTTTTCTCTGTAATTATTTTGCCTGAAAAACTTATTTGAGCTGGTATCAACTGTGTGAGTCGAAGTCTTCTCTTTATAACAATATGTTTTTATACCTCATTAGTGCACTGTAGCAATAAAAAAAATAATGTTTCTGTTCTTTGCTGACGAAATGAAAAACATGAAACTACTTCTATAATTGCTACAATACACGAACGAACTATAAAAATATAATATAACAAATAAAATTCCATTATTAAAGTAACTTTAACTCATAATTTAAATTTCCCCGGTAAATATTTATTTTTACACTGATATAAAAGGTTTTATTATCTATTAATAATTTAATTTATTTGAAGACAATTATTTAATTTAATAAATATTTTTTAACATTCAATAAATATTTATTAAATCCTATGATGTTAAAGAATTATTTATTAACAGTTAATAAAGCTTATTAAATATAAACAAATCTTTCTATTAGTATACACATTTTATTAATAAATTTTTTATAGATAAAAAAATTCATTTGATTCAAAAAGAAAATTTTTTTCAAAAATTCATTTTTGAATAAAGTGAAAAAATTTTTAAATAAAATATTTTTCTTATATTACAGCAGTTGATTAATTAATTCAACATTTCTTTTGCTTAAATTTAGACAAAAAATTTTTTTCTTAAATCAAATTAATTTTTTTTGTCAGTATAAAAGTCAAAAAAGCCAATTAGCGTATTTAATAAATAATTTATTAACAGTTAATGAAGCTTATTAAATATAAACAAATCCTTCTATCAGTGTAAAAAATAAAAAAAATCGATTTTCTCAATTGCCAAATTTCTATAAATGGAATGAAATAGAGGGTAGCGCGTCACGTCGACGCTATTCGTTAGAGTCTCTCGAGATACTTTTTCCAGCATACCAGTAGTATAAAGTTTTAACGTTACAAGCGCCCTGTTCTGGATGACTAAGATAAATGAGTATGTATTTATCCGCTCAGTCTAATGGATTTTACGAGTTTCCAATACGCCAAAGAAAAAGTTACTCTTTGCCGTTTTTTTCATTATTTTTATCTTCTCATTTATAACTTTTTCTTCGCTACTAATCACTATAATTTATAGCCCATAGAATCAATACAAATTAATCAACTTAATTTAACTGCGCCAAAAATTATCCATACTAAACAACAAAATAACAAACTAAAATTAAATAATAAATCATAAATCACAAATTATAATCAATCATGCATGGAAGAAGGAGAAGAACGGAATTTTAATTAATTAAAATAGCTGATACGAATCTCGTTTGTTTTGACGTGGTAGAAGATTGACTCGCGCTTAACAAAGCGCCCATTCTACGCGGGATAGAGGAAGTTGGATGTTATGGTTAACAGAAGACCATGGTCCGGTGCACCGGAGATTGCATGAGGAGCTAGTCATGTTTAGCTTAAATCGAAAACTGACTGCTACAAACGGCGATCAACTTTAAAACTTTGTTCGTCTTTTTTGTGGTGCATTGCTTCCAAGGGGTATCTTGAATTGCAGTTTCTTATCCTTATCAGAGAGTATGAAAACGTACGGATGCCAAGAAGATTCTCCACTCTCTCCCCTGGGGAATGAGGAAGCAAAGGAGTAAGAAGTATAAACGCGTATTCTCGAGGTTATACCCAAAGCGGTCATGGGTGTAGTCAAACGGGTTCTTGCTGTGAGATAGACATAGACAGTACATATATGTTCCAGCCACATAGTACATCAATGCCCGGCCCATATACATACTTTAGATGTGTGAGAGTCAGTGAAAATGTATGTGTGTTTGGTTGAGCTTCCACAAGCATCATGAAGCTTCAGATGTGAAGCTCTGCAAGTGAAGCATCGATCGGTCCATTGGGTCGTTGCCCATCCAATCAGCTCCGACGGGATTCTGAATCTTCCGGCACATAGACGATACAACCGAACCGGAAGCTCATCATAATTGTTCCACCCGAGCTTTAATACTATGTATAAATTATAAAATACCATATACCCGTCTGCATTCTCCGTCTTTGTCGCTTAACTTTACGGATAAATGCTTAGCGAGCTTATCTCTAGATCACCATCAACATCTTTTGCTTGATTATTATTTTATCTCGACCACTACATATACACTAAACCGAGTATTTAGAGTCTAGTCCGCCGCCAAGAAACCACGGAATTCACTCCTCATTTTAGGTAATACAAATCCTTTATTTTCCTCACGTACACCCCTCTGTTATTTGCAATTAAGAAGATGCACTTGTGTCTTCGATATTATCTGAGCTTATGCTGTGTCTGCTTTAGTCACGATTTCCCGAGATAATTCACTCGATTACAACTATTATTGTTATTATTATTCCTCCAACGGAATTACTATTAATTTTCATTTTTATTATTACTCAATGTTATCACTTTTTGTTATTATCATTATGGTTATGATTGTTAGGTGGTTTTTTTACTGTTATTGCTACGGGAATAGCAAGAGCGGAAGTACCAGAGTAATATTGATTTTAGTATTTTTTAATTAAAAAATTAATTAAAATGTGAGTTACTTTTTTAGATTATCATTTTGATAATAATTAATATCGAATTATTGAAATGCTACGGGGATATTATTGTTATCATTTAATTATCTAAATTAATATTTAATTAATTTAAAATTTTCGGTTTAATTTTTCATATTTAATTATTGTTTAAATTTAAAAAAAGGAAAATATTTCAATTGCAAGCTAAATTAAAAAAATTTTTAATATTTTTGGAATGAAAATTGAATGATAAAAAAAATCATTTTATTTTAAAAAATGTGTGAAGTCTAAAATGAAATTGTTGTAAATATTTTATTGATGGATTTTTCTTTAATAAAATAATTCTTTTTTTTTACACGGAAAAAAGAAAAATGGAAAAATTATATTATAAAATGTAAACGTTCAGATTGTAATTATTACATTAAAATCTAAATATTATTTGTGTAAAATCTAAAGTAATTACGATTTGAAACTGTAAACGAAGAAAAAAAAACAGCATTGATTACTATTTTGTACAGTACTCAGTACTGTTTTGGAAGAAAATGCGGTTAAAATGTTTGGGACAGTAAAAAGCGCTATATAAAAACTATCGACTATTGTTTGCACACTACTGAGTCGTGTTCTGGCACTAACCAGTCGTGTCTCGTACAGCACTCTCTACTGTCTATGAAAATTTTTCTAATATTTGTACGAAACAGTAATAATTGCTTTTTTATTTTCTCCGGGTAATTTTTCCAGTTTTTTTACGACGGGCCACGTTTACATTATATAATGTAATTTTTCTATTGTTTTTCCGTGTATTTTTTAAAAAATTAGTCATTTTCTTTTTTATCTTTATAATCCAGGTCAGAATATTAATTTGAAATTGAATTATTGTATTATCATCGGTCTTTAATGTATATCTACACTGAAAGAAATTTCCTTTAAAAATTACCGTTAAATTTACGGTAATCTAATTGTGAAACGAATGGTACGAACTAATCATTTGTCGATAAGTAAGATCATTTTTGACTTTTTTTTTTAACAAATTTTACCGTAGTTTACTGTAAATTTTATGAAGTTTACTACAAAATAAATGAATTTTTTCGTCATTGTTATATCATAAATGATAATAAAGAAAAAATTCGCATTGTGTCCCACGATTACAGTAAATTTAACGTTAATTTCTAAAGAAAATTTCTTTCCGTATAAGTTTTAAAATTAATTAGCCGTGTTAAAGTCAGTAAAAATGACGTTGGAAGGTTCCGTCGCATAAGCGAATGGAAACATATAGGTCAAGCTAATAAAAAGGAGTCAAAAAATATAAAGTTTTACCTCCTAATCTGAGTTCAGCAGTCGCCTGAGTCATTTCATAGTCATTTTTAGCAAAACATTGGTACATCCCTTTGTCATCTCTGGTGACAGAGGATATGTGAAGAATTGAGCCGCCGTTACCGAGAATTTTTATTCTCCCGGTACCTTCTCTCACTGGAAGTCCATCTTTAGCCCACGTTATTATCGGGGTTGGCTGCCCTGTCACAGCGCATTGGAATTTTCCATCCTTACCCAAGTCAATTGTCACCTTAAATCCAAATATAGAATCAATTTATACGAGTTCGGTAATTACTATAGATTAATCGTTAATCTAATCTAGTATTTTCAGTTCGACATTCTTCATAACTCGTAAATTAATAAACCCTTCTTCTCGGAAAATAATTGACGTAAGCTTTTTATGGCTGGGTATTAAAACAATTATTGTGTTTTTTTCTTTTTTCAAGAAGAAGAGCTATAATTGATACTCGAGGTTATAAAAGTTTCCACGATCTCTAGTGGAGTATGTTTTTTATTTATAAAACTTCATGATGCATGCTTTATGTCAGGATTGAAATATCACGGCGAGCTGTTTTTTATTTTAATAAAATATGAATATGGATAAAACTGACTTGTTGAGGAGTTAGATGAATAGAAATACTGTTAATAATCGAGACTTCAAGCTCAACTCTTTCAGAGCCGGCGGTGTTGTTAACATGGCATACATAACGACCTGCGTCTTCAACTCTTGCTGATTGAATTATGAGTACGCCCCCTCTGGCATGAGTCCTCTCAGAATTAACTATAGCATCAGTACCACCAATTGACTCTCGATACCAAGAGTACATCGGTGGTGGATTTCCACCCTGAGAAATACACGACAGTACTATTGTTTCTCCTTCGCGCACTGGGGATGGATTCATGCGCTCATTTATGCGGGGTGGCTCCGGATTCCGATGTTCTGAAAAAAAAGAATAAAAAAATATTAATAAAAATATTCTAATATTAGCACTCAGATTTTTTAGCTCTCAGTTCTCATTTAGTACTTAAAAGATTATTCATAAAATAATATTAATAAAAGTGCACTGAAAAAAAAAATTCTTCAAAATGATTTTCTTGGTTGAAAAATTTTTCTCTGGAATCAAGATAATTGTTTTCAGTAGCGGTAAATCATTTGAACATTATTATGGTAAAATAAATCTTTAGCATATCTGAATTATGCAACTGATGTTTAAATTGTTAAGATTATTTATTTTCTCTAGGTTACTTTTAAAGTTAAATAAACTTTAATTGTTTGTGTTTATTTAACTTTTTTATACATCAGGATGTAAATCTTCCTTTAGCAAAGAATATTTAAATGCAAATTATATTCAAGGTCTGTAAATTTGGATGGTAATATTACAATGTCTTAATTATTATTTTTTCAGTATTTTGTAGTCTGTTTTTTTCAATGCGCATCCGAGTCAAAATTTAAGTCGTAGATTTAACGTATTGAAAAAAAATATAGGTTCAACATTTCCAAAAAAGAATAAATTCAAAAATACTCCAAGTACCACTGGTTCTTCATTAAATACTAGCTAGTATGCTTAAACAGCTATGTACATTCGAAAAAAAATATTTTGGAAACTATTCCACGAGTAAAAAATTTGGACTGAGTATTTTTATCAAACGGATGGTAAAATTTTAACCAAAAAACTGAAATTTTCCCTAACAGAATTGAAAAATACGATTTGAACGTTCAATACGTTGAATCTATGATTTAAGTTTTAACTCGGGGTTCTTTTGGAAAAGGGTACGCGTTACTTATTCGAGTCAAATAAATATATTTCAGTTATTTAATTATGAGTGATGTAAATTAAATTTATAGATCAATTTTTTGTTCACAATTTTCATTATTTTTACTGAAATTGAATTTTTGAGACTTAAAAATGGAATTTTTATCAAATTTTATGAAAGCGGGAACACCTAATAATTAATAATGCAAAGACAATTGCTGTACCCTTTAAAAACACTAATTAATAATCTTCATCTATTAACGCAGAGATTATTAAATCCTCATTTATTATTATCGGTGACCTTGGCTTCATCAAATCATTCGTTGGTTCATATCACCAATAAAATCAAGTGTTAAAGTACGTATAGATAACGCTGCCATTTATTCATTTACTCCCCGTTCTCATACTACTCCATTTATTGATACGTTAACGAGTTCTGTTTTAATAAGCCCGCATTCAATACAGCTCTAACAAATTATAAACATTATTAATAAATAATTTTTAAGTATTTAATAGTTCAACACAAAATTGGTATGTTCACCCAAGTGAGTTCAACATTTCATCGATAAAATTAATTAATCGTTAGATATTAATTTAAACTGAAGCAGTTGTAATAATTTCAATGAATTTGTTTCATTACTGTTAATCTATTCCATAATTTCCAATTTAAAATTTTACAATTTAATCTTTTTATTAGATGTCAGATCCTTTCCTACCAAATTATAATTATATAGTATAGTCCGGATAGCTCAAATGGTAGAGTAGCCGACATGTCTTCGGAAGGTTCTGGGTTCGAATCCCAGTCCGAGCTATCTAATAATTTTTTCTCACATATTCTATACACTCACATTAAGAAGTTCCTCTCCATAATCCTTTCTCAATCCTTTCCTACCAATTATCCTGTTACGTGAATGTTGGAACGCTTCACGTAATAATTATCCGTAACTCCTATTCTTTCCCGCTTCACAGCATTATTTATATTTGTTAATATTATTATTTTTAACGAAATTATTAATTTTAGTTAATTTTAATTCATTTCAATTCGTTGAAATCAATTTTAATGAATTTTAATTAATTTACAAACATGTATGGGATTCACTCACATTCCATGCTTGTAAAGGTGGACCCTAGGATCTCCGCCGTCCATCTTACGGCATAAAATAAATATTATTATTTTTAACGAAATTATTAATTTTAGTTAATTTTTTTTTTATTTTTATAGTACCTATATAGATTTAACTAAGACTTATAAATAGAAAAAGCGTTGGATAGGTAAGTCATATAGACGTCTTGTCATAAAAATTTATTTTCGGTTTATTACCCTATATACGTATCACAGTCGACGTAATTAGGCCAGGAATATTTATCAGCACAGACGTTAAATGTTTAATCGCTAGAAAAGAGATCTAGTCAAATACTTATAAGAGAAATTACGCCTTCGGGCTTAATCGTTAAAACTCGGGAATAATCGTATGAACTCGGGAATAATCGTATGACGCTATGGCCGTCGCGCATGCGCGCCTTGGTTAGCGGTAGAGAAGCCGGCTCGCGTGGTCTGCTGCAACAGTTGTGCTTGGACTCTTGTACTAGTACGACTACTCTGTGCTAATCAATTCTGACAATTCTTACTTGCATCTCACATTCATTCAAATATTTAAATTATTCATTAAATATAAATAATTATAGTAGATTCAATTATACTTTAAATTCTCAATTCATTTAAATCAGTTTAATAGTTCAGTAAATTAACATAAATAAGTAAAATCAAGTAAATTTATTTAGTGACGCCACGCGGCCATTACGCGCCACCGTTAACAAAGGATTGCATCAGCCACGCGGCTTTAGTCAATCCATAATTGACGCGTGATATTAACAATTAATTACATTAAATCAATTATTAACATTTAATTACGATCTTATTTAATTTAACTTATAAATAATTAAATTCCAATTTCAAATCATTTGACTAATTTCTACATGAAAAACATCAAACTCAATTGACTAACATTCTGTTATCAATTGAACATTATTAGCTCTCACCTTGAGACAATTGAACATTAATAGCTCTCACTCTGAGACAGTTCAAATTAATTAGATATTACCAGCTCCCACCTTGGGACTTATCTAATTCAAATTATCGATAATTTTCTTTATACGGCGACTGAGCTCACCCCTATTGCGTTATTGCAACGTAATTTACACACACACACACACACACACTTACACACATACAATTTACTTGTATAAATTTTAAACAAGGAGGTTTTTCCCAGCCTAGCTGGGTTTTCCTCCTTTGGGGATAAATAAACCATCTAAACTGTTCCCCAAAAAATCCAAGCATTTTTATTTAACTTCCTAATCCCAACTTCAACATATTTTTAAAACAATTACGAGAAATATCCGCATTGGATAGTTTTCGACAAAACATTAAAGGTATGAGGCAAGAAGTTTCATATGTTTATTTTTACTTGACAGCTTGACAATCTTAAATTTAAACTAAAAAAATAAGTGTTCTGAATAATATCTTGCAATTAATTATTGGAGATCATACATTACTTTATTTTCATTTCAAATCTTCAACTTAAATTATTAATAAAATTAACTTCATAATAATTAATATAATTTACATTTTATAACTTTAATACATACCTAATAGTAGATTAATTTTATCTCATAAATTCTCTTAAAATTAAATTAATTATTTATTCCATAATAATATAATTCATTCCCAGATATCTACAAAAAAATACACTAAAACATTTATAGGTTTTGACATTTCCGAGACAAAGTCAGAAATATTATGCACAGGGTGATTAAATATGAATGCTTGCATTGAAATAAAATTTTTATCATTTAAATGTTTAAATATTGAATAATATATTGAGATCATACATCCGTTGAAAGGTACAACATGTAGAAATCGTAGTTGGCATATTTCCGAACGCTTTGCCATGGGGCGTGTGTGCGCTCGGTCATCCTCATTCTCATATATCCTGATAAAATATATATACCGCGAAAAACTTTTAGCATTTTTCATCCGTGGTTCATAGATATAACTTTGCTGGATATTTTGTGAATACTTTTTACATATGTATTACGTATCTGATGGGAATATGTAGATAGTTACACAGAGAACGATGAACAGCTATTATATCGACAGATAAAAAGTTTGCTGAAGAGAATTTACGATATGTATTTACTTTGAGGTAAAATCGAAAAGTTTTGTCTCTTTTTGATATTATGGTAATATCCTTCGGATTGATTCTGAATAATTTACATTTCCTTTTACAAGTTACAGTGTAGAGAACTATCTCGAGTTTTTTGAACGTCTCAAGCGCGAAGGCTGTGCTAGGATTTCAAAATTTGGCTTTTATCAAATATTACACTGAAAAAAAATTTTTTTCCTCCTAGAATACTAAATTTTTTACTTGAGTTTTCTTGATTTAAAAAAACTGGGATTCTTAACCTTAAAATACCACGTTTTATTATAAGGCTATAGATTTTGACAGTAAGAAAACTGTATTCTTAGAGTTAAAAAACTTTCGTATTTTAATCATAAGAATACCAATTTTTTATCCATAAGGAAACATTTCCTTGGTAGAAAAAAAAATTTTTTTTTTAGTGTAGCTGTCAATTATTCAACTTTACATCATTTAGTTAATTTTTATGACAACTTATCAAAAGTTCAACTACTATCATTAAAGCCCGTGAAAATCCTTACTTAGTTTTAAATTGATACTTGAAATAAATTTTTGAATTTTAAATAACAATAAAAAATTACGAGTTTATAATTTATAAAAGTTATTGTTGTTTTTTTTTTAATTTTCCGAAAGTCACCATCATTACTTGATAAGATACAATATCATTTCTTAATTATTGGAATTTTTAAATATATAAACTCATCTCGATGTTACACTCTTCGCGACCTTTCATTTGAATACCCACGTGAATTTTTTATATATTTTATATAGTCTACAAATATCATATATATCTAAAAAAATATGAAAAATTCACGTGAGTACTTAAATGGAAGGTCTTGATGAGTGTAATATCGAATATACTTTATTTGGTATAAATTTTATGAAGGCTAATTTTGTAATTTTTTTTAAATTGACCATTAAAAAAAATTTCTGCTCATTTATTAGTATAGATTTATTATTTCGTATCTAAAAATGTTATATTGACA